CCTAACCGGACGAACGAACGTAAACGTTTAACGGGGTAGGGGGACGGACGTACACGACTACAACAACTACCTCCTCCCCTCCTACATGTAATAAAGTAACTACTCTCTCTCTCTCTCTCTCTCTCTCTCTCTCTCTCTCACTTAGCCCATGCAACACCGTCAATCTCTGCTTGGGCATTCTTGTACAACTCAAGCCGCTTTGAAAGCGCAGATCGGCGCTCCATGACTGCTGGATCCTCATCTAATAAGGATCCTAGCTGCTTTTGCTGCAAGATAATAAATGTGTATCATGTACTTTGTCTATGAAACCAAGTATGGAGCATGAAAACCAATAACATAAGACTAATGCTGAGCCAAAGTCCCATCTTTTAGGGGGATTCAATCTACGCTAAAAACTATCAGGGCTGTAAACCATAATTAGGCAGCAGCAATAGGTCACCATCTGATTCCAGTGGATATTCAAACCAAATATCCCCATACTTGGGAAAGTTTCTAAGCCAAACATATAATCAAAACCTGATTATTTCATTTCTTCTCACAAAGTGATGAGTACAGATGAGAAGAAGGTTGAGGTCATGGTAGTAGCACCACCTAAGCTTCAGCTACCGGTCTAGGTTTCCATTCCCGCTGACACATTCAAAAACTACCATCTATTTCTAAAACAGGGAGGGGCCTGTATTCCCCACTGATCTACCCCCACAAGATAGTAAATAAATAAATAAAATAAAATGAATGAAGTGATGAGTAAATATCAAATGAACTACAAAAGAATAGTAATTTCTTCACTTTGCTATCTTACTGACTTGATGATTTCTTTCATAATGAAATTCAGCAGGCAAATCTTACCTTTTCAAAAAAACTACAGGTCAATCTTGTCTATTGTGGGACCCAGTTGGGATAGTTTTGTAATTTCACTAAAATGTCACAATTATGTAACACATTGATTGTTTTCCCTTTTCTTTTGAAAAATTGACCCATGAGGAGGAAATTCATGATCACAACCAACATCATAACCGAGAAAAAAGAAATGCTCACCTCTTTTTTACCTAGCTCGGTGAAGAAATGGTCAAGCAATGAGCGCTTTGCCTCCCGTACTTGACAATAAACAATAGACTTTGGAATGGAATTTCTCAAGCTTGCACAAACCATATTCACATATGACAGAACAGTTGTTCCTATTCAAGAAAAGAGGGGACAAAAAAAGAAAATGATGAAAATCATAGAGATACGACATTTCTGTTTTACCTGACTAGTATATGATATTTCCTTCTTAGATGGATAATCCATGCAAATTATGTAGAAAACATAAATAAATACTACAAAACCACCACAGATTAATCTTGAAACGAATTAAGGCAAAGAATAGAGAGTATTTCAGTAACTATATCCAGCTGTAGTGAGATGAGAAATGGGATCTCGAGTTAAGCCAAGCCTAAATGCATGGAGTTCGAGCATTCCAACAAACTAGGTCTGAGGCCATTTCGCATGCTAAACAAATAGATGGGATGGGCTAGCCCTGTAGGAAATGCATTTCCTTAACACATTATGCCTATGTAAACTAATATTTTCAGAGTAAGTTAAAGGTGTTAAAAAAAGCTCTACAAAGAGGAGAGTAAATAACTGAGTGCGGCAAACACGTCTTGACCACTTGGCTTCTACCTTCCATTAGCATGCACACAGAAACCTTGGCTGAGGATTTATTGAGATTGATGAAAATTATCTAAGCCCTCTACTGGGTTATCAGACATTTTTCATAGAAGTGCATTCTGAAACCAGACCACCCTAATTCAATACATCTAGAGCAAGAGGTAAAGCATCCTTACCTATTTTTCGGATGTAGGAATCATTATATCTGTCAAAAACTGAGTGTGTTGGGTTCCCACCCTTCTCAATATCCTGTGGTAGCTTGCGAAAGAAATCAACAGTCAAATAACTAGACTCCATGTCCACTAGCTTCAGGGTTGCTTTTCGACTCTCTTCTCTTAGTCTATCCAATGCATCAAAAGCAGCATTCCCAACCTCAACCCGAAGTGTAGGATACTGCTTGAGCTCCTGATAGAAAAATCCAAACATATAGAAATAAGATCAAAAGAAATGAAGCAATAACACTACAAAGATAATACTGGGTTTATATCTACTAGCAAATTAAGATTATGAAATCATATAAAAGATAATTGGTTTTAAAAAAAAGGCAACCGAACATGGAAAGTATCCAAAGTATTAAAATATACATCACATATTTGAGTTTATACAACCAACTTCCTCTTTCCAGTTTTTCACGGTTCTCATGACATGATCTTTTAAAGAACATGATAAATTTTCAACAATAACGCCTATATGTTAAAAATATTTAGTAGAACAAGAACAGAGAGTTCAGTAGCAGTATTTAGTTGTCTATAACACTGTTCCAAAAGAATAAGATAGTATGTTTCATATTTTGAGAGAGATGTGGCAGCAACTTTGCAAGATTAACATATTAGAACTTTGCCGCATCAATAGAACCCTCTAAAGATTAACTGACAAAATACCCTAAGAAATTAATGGATTATGACAAATTGGACATACCATAGTCTCACTGACCGCCTTGTGAACCAGCTCTTTTAATATAGCATGAACCTGAAATCATGAACAATAGAAAGTCCATAGCCTCCACAATGCAATAGGGGATCGTATACTATGAGACCATTTATCTTTCTTACAAGGAAGTCATAAATTGCTCCTAGCCATTAGATGTTAAATTGGATGGCCTGGGGTGTGTCACCGTCATGAAATTCAAGAAATTGTTCTTGATACTTTGAGTCTAGTCAATGACACTTTTACAACCATTCAATTTGAAATATAACGGACATGAGTGATTATGACATTCTTGTACCAAAAGTAAATGGTCTCTTTGTATACATTTCCATGCAGTAATTGCGATATAGATAAAGGAATGATAAGCAGCTTCCACTAACTACCAAGTAATACAAGATTAGCAAAAGTGGATGATTTAATACACCTCCCAGGCTCGACCAATACGTCGGAGCACACCATTAATGGTATTACAATATGTAATAACCAGGACCACAATAGGCACATTATTCCCATGTCAAAAATGTACAATAAGAGAAATATCAGGTGCACATATAGCCCTCAGACCTCTAGAAGTTCACAGTACTCAAACACCATTCCAAATTTCTCAAGTCTCAACCAAGTTACCAAATTATCTTTATAGAATACTCAAACATCATTCCAAATTTCTAAGTCTTAACCAAGTGACCCAATTATATTTTATTTCCATAACATATATGGATTAAACCAGTTTCTGGTTTCAATACAGCTTCCCAACACATGCTGAAACTCAACTCCAATGGAAACAACCTGATTTGATACTCTACTACTTTTACAAAATGCACAACTATTATAGAAGAGTTATCCTTCTTTTAATATCAATAAAAGAGTCATCTTCCCAAGTCAAACTAAAACCAAAGCGCCCCATAAAAAGAAAAAACTCAAAAACATTAGTATACAGGAATTTAGGCACACTCCTCAAAATAGAGCATATGTGCTTACTATATAGCATGTAGAATATGTTCAAAAGATAAAGAAACAAAAAAGGACAGATTTTAATTAAATACATTCTCTCGTTCGGATTTTAAAAACACATACCGCATCAACGGCTGCCTCCGCAGGGCCTCTTATGGTTGTCAAAGAAGACTCAATTAGCCGACGATATCCTTGCTCAGGCGCTATCAGATGAGGCTGGTACCCATCAGCTTCTGTAATAAGTTTTCTTACATTCTCCATGGAGAGATGTTTGTCAAACTGCAATCTTTTTAGGGCAGCTGGAAGTTGATTATCAAAAACATTGTAGATCTTATCACCGCCAGGTCGACTGTAGAAAAATGAAGGTCCAACATCAGCAAATCAGATTAAAAACATGAAACTGCGCTCTTAAAAAGGAGATATTTTTCCAGAAAGTCATGATCACATACACTCCATCAAGATGTTCCTTATATATTTGATCGAAAACGCGACAAATCTCCATAATCATATATAGCTTTCCCTGCAGAAAAGACAGAAAACAAAGATCCTGACTCATTCAAGCATCAAATAGCAATAAACAAGTAATACTACCCTGGATGGGAGAAAGTGATAACAGCATTTCTAGATAATGAACCACCACCATGAGAAAACGGATCTGAGCCAATGTCATATATTAAGTAAAAGTAAATATGCAGCAAGATCGTAGTGTGCTTGAAAAGATAGAATCTATCCAATAAAGCAGGTGACCTGGGAAAATATGAAACCCCCTAGTAATAGCCTGTATGTGCTCATGGCAAATTTTGTCCCTTTTTCTGTGGCAAGTTCTGTATCTTGAAATACATTTGTTCTTGTAATCGAAATTTGTATCTGAGCATTGAACTGAAAAGGTCACAGGTTTCGTCTCTTGGTTTAATCACTGCCGGTGGTCAGATTGGTAACCTCATTTTATTGCCACAAACATGGAATTCAAAACACAGAAGATTTCTCCAATATAGTATATATCAAAAAGCAAATAGAAAATTAGATAAATCAGAGAAATAAAGTAGCTGGAGCACCGTAAAACAGTAAACGAAGAAAGGGCATAATTCATTGAGACATGACCGTAGCACCATCAGATTTGAGGGAAATAGGCTCAAAAAAAGAAACTTATACAACAAAATCAGAGCTTAATCTTAGGTGAATATAGGTTTTTTTTTTTTTTTGACAATTAATATGAACATGTGCAAACAATTATCTTAAGTCTGACTCAGCTAGGGTCTTGAGAGGCCCCCAAGCCAATTCAAAACGAATCAACTCTCATCCAAGCCTCAGTGAGGCTCAAGTCTATTGATAAAATACCTGAAACAGGCTTCCCTAGCGATTCTCATGTTAAAACATGAGACTTTCCAGGTTGCTGAGTTACTTCACCTTGGGCTAGTCCCAAAACGACAAATCAAAATGAGTTTTAAGATGTTCTGGACAAATGAATATGAAAATTAAATATATTTAGAAAATTTAGCCACAAGGACTCCTGTATCATTTAGCCACATATCCATATGGGCTCAGTATTAAAACCACATCAGCAGGCCCCCATCTCGCTACCTACATGAGCTTCTTGATATGAAAACGGCAAAGGCTTGATACAATTCCAAGAACTGATAGAGAGCAAATTGAATAATAAAATAAATTATTTACCCCTGCATCTGCAGCAACAGGCTTTCCAAGACGACTTAGTTCTGCTTCCAGTTCAGCTATGCTTTTGCTGATAAGAGACTGGAGGCCCGGTATCCGGGATTTGATTACAGTCTCTAAATGCTGCAAAAACAGACATGAAACCAGATGCATCAATACAAATCACACAAACATATAAACTTGCAGCAACAATTATTAAAAGACTTGAGGTTATACTCGGACAAGCTTTGACCAACACAGACACATCAATCCAACTAGTTAAATCCCAAAGACAAACCATTATAGAATTGCATCTAGTAACAGTTAACAGCAAACCTTTGAAAGAATCTTTCCTAGATGTTCAGAACCCATCCTGTGAGCTAGATGTTTGTACTCGGGACTATTTGCAAAATACTCCCGCTCTCTACGGCGTGCAGCAATCATGTCGACACTCTTGTTAATGTCAGCTTGAGAGCGATTGACCACACCAACCCACGGAAACTGCAAACGATATGCTTTTCCTTCCAAAATCTAAAAGAATAAGAAATAGGAGTAAAGATATAGAAGTTTCATTCGCCCATATATGTACATAAAGACATAGAAACACACATATAAATGCATTCATGCACAGAGTCACAAAACGTTTTTCAAAAGGGTATCCATGGCGCATAAAGAACTTGGGCATGAAGGACTAGCAGTCCAATTATTGTCTTCTGGTTATTCATTAAATTGTCAAAAAACAAAAAAAAGGAATTGCAGATATAGACTGCACTGGATATTTCGTTATTCCATCCACAAGTAAAAGGTCAATCAATGGTAGAAGGTGGGAAATCAAGAATACGACTAAAATCAGTATTGCAAAAATCAGCAATAAAGATAAACAACTAAAACATCCATGTAGTTGGCAAACAAAAGCAGAAATTATCAGCTTTGCAAAATAAATAAAAGGCAAAAACGAAAAGCTATAAAAAAAAATATCGAAGTCTAGCAACAAAAATAAAAATCCAAAAAAAAATAGAAATGAAAATGCTCCTGCATTCGTATTTATTGTTGATGAGAATGCCATCTTCTATGTATTAAGTCATTAGCAACCGAGCTCAGGCTAGACTAGTGCATCAAATTTTCTAATCCTAAATTGTATTAAATTCTTAAAGCATCAAGAATAAGGCACATTGATTGCATTCATGTACAAGGGACGTCAAGAATAAGGAGACATTAATTGTGATTCATTCGGAGAGAAGGATAAGCCCACGCACATCAACTGCATCAGTACCCTTGTCCATCAGATCTATCTTTGTCAATACTCCAAATGTCCTCTCCCCTAAAAATCACAAAATAAAAGGCAATTATAGTAACAGTAGATTATATAACTTCAGGAAGTGACGGTACGTCACTGATTCCAATATCACTAGCCATTGCATGAACATAACACAAACGGCATCAGTTCACGCCAAACAAGATAATCCCAATTACAGAATTGTAGAACAGTTACCTTTGGGATCTACTTCACGTGATATCCTGATTGCATCAGAAGTAGCAAGATCCTGATTGGCAGGAGATATGGCAAGAATGATGCAGTTTGGCTGAAAGGTAAACAAGCGCATTCAAATGGACAAGTAGTTTCCCTTAAATATTTGTATTACCACCATGACAAAATATTACCACAAATTTCAAGTTTCAATAAAGACAAAAAAGCCCATATACAATCATATATATGTCCAAACCCTTGAAGCTACTTCACAGGTGTACAAGAGAAATCACAAAAAGAGATTCAGCAAAGCCATGAAAACCAATTGAAGTACAAAACACATCAAGAACCAATTCACGAGTGATATATACATGTCAATCACTGGAACTTTATTAGCCTCTATCAACCATATCTCTTCTAAAGCTCAGTTGCCATCAATCTTCAAATTCCAAACTCATTTTCATGAACCTCAGTAATGAACATCATGGAGTAGAAAGAATAGATCTGGAGACGCTCCTAACAGATCAATCCTCAACGATTTCAGAATTCAGAGAATCATAAACATTGGAGCAGTAAATCATGAAGTTCAGGATAGTCAAGGGTTTACACATTTCTTTATGCATTCATTTCGTAAAAGGGCAGATTTATAAATTCGCCGATTTTACTTTGCTGTATTTAAACTGAGCATCAGTCACTCAGACCTGACACAAATGTCTGAGAACACAAATTTTTTTTTTTTTTTTGAGAATGGTCTTCGAACACATGTTAATAGCAATAGTGATTATTATGCCAAGACCTATATTTATTGTCAAACAACAATGTTGCATGGGCACAGGTACTAAAGTGAATGCCAAATATGAGTACAAGGTGTCCCATTCCTCATGTCATTAAGAACAAAATTCAGAGACATGGCTATATTTTAAAGAGACAGCACAAACCAACATTTTTTTACTAAAATCCCATCCCATAACAAGTGGCCAAAAAAAATCAATTATGCCTTAATTGGCTGAATCATACAGATTTTTAAAGTTCATGTTTCTACCCAATTAAAAGAAGATCAAAGTCCGTAACAATGATGCAGTCGATTGTCACTTTGTCCGTGAACAGGAATAAGAATCCCGAAAAATTTGTGTCGTTACCAATGTTACATGAACATCGACGGTTGTCAGTGTCTTAAGTATCTATTACATCTGTCTAAAAAGCCAAGACAACAAGATAAGCCCATACATTTATTTTATATAATTAAATATTATATTATATTATATTATATAGTATTCCATTAATTAAATATTATGTTATACTATATAGTATTCCATTTTATAGTATTCGTTAAACGATTGGAGAGTTGCTAGAATATTTTTAATGCAAGGTGATGAGAGTTTGAATCCCACTATGAGCATATCTTTTTACAACTCCTAAAATATTATTAAGGGTATCTAATTTAATCATCTCTTTCTTACAACTCAACAACTAATGGTAATGTGATAGCACGATATGGTATTCCATTTTATAGTATTTGTTAAACGATTGGAGAGTTGCTAGAATATTTTTAATGCAAGGTGATGAGAGTTTGAACCCCACTATGAGCATATCCTTTTACAACTCCTAAAATATTATTAAGGGTATTTAATTTAATCATCTCTTTCTTACAACTCAACAACTAATGGTAATATGATAGCATGTGCCAATGTGGAACACTTGAAGAAGGGTTCCATTTCCACCATGAGCATGGTATACCACTTTATTGCTAAAGAATAGTAAAAGGAGACATAGGAAAAAACATTCAATCTATAGAAAATGGAACCATGGACTTGCCAAAAGAAAAAAGTAAGTGCCTATCAGTGTTTCAAAACGCGGACCGCCCAGCGCATGGGGGGCCGCCTAGGAGGTCAAGGGGGCGGCGCCAAAAATAGGCGGAAAACCCTAGGCGTCCGCCTAGCCTAGGCACCCAAGACCCCGCCTAGGCGGCCGCCTAAATCTGCCTAGGCGACTGCCCAAGGCTTGCGCCCACCCAAAGGCGGAAATGTGGCTCCTTGAGAGTATTTTTGGGTCATTTTTTTTAATACTAAAAGGGCAAAATTTTGGATTTTAGGCTCATTTGAAACCTAAAACCCATTAAAGGCTATTTTAGAGAGAGAAAATCCCAAAAAAAAAAATTCTACTGGGCTGCCAAGGTTCTGAGCGCCCGCCTAGGCGCTGGGCGGCCTGGATCCCCCCAACCGCCTAGTTGCCGCCTAGCGCTTTTTGAAACACTGGTGCCTACCATGTGGAGATCTAATATTGTATGTCAAAAATTGCAAGAGGTTTTATTTTAAAGTATCGACAACATCCTGGAAAATGATGACATCAGCCGACATGTACATTCACGTTTCGGGCCCATTTCTCTAAGTGTCGACATGTCTTTAAGTGTAAACCAGTGTTGATATGCGATACCACCCTATATATAGAGTATCGAGATAACACTGGTCGTTACACCAAGAAAACCCAATCCATGTAATATATATAGTCCAGCAATAAAACTTGATGACAAGCTATCAGAGACAGGAGTTTCTCTTCAAACCAAGGATTTCTTAAGATTCAGAGCAACTTGTAGAAAAATGCGTTGATCACAACAATCAACTCAAATACATAATTGAGAAGATTGCAAAAAAGTGATTTAGGCTTGGCGAGGTCATAAGCCAAGAAAACAATTGTAAAAAACAACAGGATCTGTAAATTTTTCCCTAAGAGAACATGAATCAGAATAATTGAAGCCGGTTCTTATAAATTCCCTCAACATATATCTAGTATTCATGGCTGTCACAATTATGGAGATGCTTTCTTCGAACTTTGGGCATTTTCACCTAGCATTTGTGATATATAACTTTTCAAATCTCAAACATGTAGGCGTCTTGGTAAAACTTTCACTGTGGACTGAAGGCAAACAAGTTACAAACTGGATTTTGGGTCATTAGATTGATAATTATTCTCAGTAAGAAAAAGGTCAAAGGTAAAGTGTGTAACATCTTAAATTAATCTTACAGAAAAGGTTGATAACACAGTATAAAAAGCATATTAATACATTTCAATCAGATCCAGGCAGAAAAGATTGCCTGTTCTCTCCTTGTAATGGTCTAATGAAGGACTAGAGTGTAGACACTTGCCAATCAATATCCTTCCATCTACAAAATCCTCTAATTAGAAGTAAGCATCTTCCACATCTTTCAAGATTCCTAAACATTAGGTTCTTTAGTAGATCCTTTCATGATCCATGACTCCCTGGAATTCCAGTCTTGAACTCAAGAACAAATTACTTGATCGGCATAGTTACTGATCGGATTCAAATGGCATGCAACTCACACAGAGATCAAAAGAAAGCTTTGATTCGTAGATAATGCCACAGACAGCGAAAAGGGATTCCTAAGTGTTTAAGAATTCCAAATGAAATGGAAATCCTCCTAGGTCGCAAGAAAGCACTAGAACACCAGAACACAAGAAATCCAAAGATCACATGTTAGTGCAGATACAGTACCAGAATGGTTCGCCTCCAAGGAAGCCCATGTGTGACCATAACACAATAAAGAAAAAAATTCTCAAGTGAACAAGAAATGAACAATGTAATGGACAATGAGTCCCCCAAGTTTCATACACATTACCTTCTCAATAAAGGAACGAACCATATGCTCAATGTCAGCCACGACACTATCAGGTTGACCCTCTAAAACGAAGAAGTAAACTAATCAGAACTGCAAGAAATTGTTAAAAAAGATACAGAAAAAGGCGGAAAACCACATATAAAACAAAAGATTAGCCAGCAGCAAGCACTTACCAACAGCCACCTTTGTAAGCCCCGGAAGATCAATCAGCGTCAAGTTGACAACTGTGAAAAACAAATTGATCAGAAGACAAGAAACTAACCAATAAAAAACAAGGCCAAAAATCTAAGCATGCTTACTGACATTTCTTAAATGCAGCTAATTGTTGGAAACAATCACATATAACTAGCAGAACTTGAAGAAAATAACTATGTTCTCTGCACCATCAGAGAGTATTTGTTGGCCAAAAGATTGTGACTAATGGCATGTTGGATTCTTTTGCAATTTCCAATGTAATTATATCCTGCAGCTTTAGATACTGAAAAGTGAAATCCATCCATAATATCCATTTGAAATCTTAAAGTTCTTTGTATTATTATGCAACTACCATGAGTATCATATTATTTTCGTTATGTGATATTCTCTTAGAAAAACATCTACCAGATATGCAAATCAGGACTTGCATATGCAGGGCAGATTGCCCATACCAAATTGCTGCCCAAGTCCAACTTGAGAATCGATCACTAAAGCATGACAAGTGAACAAGATAGACAAAGCCTCTTAACAATTATTATTAAAATCAGAAAGACCTGTCAACCGGTTGAAAGAATGCAAAATACCGAAATCACATGAGTATTATTCTATTTTCACTTTGTAACATTTTCTCAGGACAACATAAATTGGATATGCAAATCAGGACTTGCATATGCAGGGAAGTTTGCCTATGTCCAACTTGAGAAACCATAGGTAAAGCACAACAAGAAAACACCACCTAGGATGCTTTTTACATATTCTCAAAATCAGATAGACCTGTCAACTGTTGAAAGAAAGCAAGCCCAATCATAAATTAACCATACCTGAGCCTATCAGGATACTTGGGAACCAAATAACCACTTTTATGGCACATTATGAATAATTCATGCACATGCAAGTACAGAAACACAAGTGCACGAACATGCATGTATGAGCATCGCCAACAGCTTTCAAATAGGACTCTTCAATTCTTTTTTTTCTCTGATAAGTGACTCTTCAATATGATGTTTGAATCCTTGCCTCAAACTGAGCGGTGTTTCTAAACACTAGAAATAACCAAGAAACAAAAAATCCGTGTTCTTAACATATACTTAATACTTGAGGATGCATAAACTATATCGAATTTTCAGGAAACAAAAGGTTTAATGGAAATTTGGGAATATACATTTTACATTGAGATTTAGATTTGCTTGCTTTCTTCTTTATTTTCATTCAAATAAGAAAATTCACATTGTTGCTCATTGATCCATGGAGGAAAGAACTATTTAAAAAATGCTAATTTTAACCACAAGTATGTGGCATATGGCTCCTGAATCTGGAACGATTTCAGTGTCCCCAAAAAGTAAATAAACAAATCAGTCAACTCAGCAATTAGAACAGACAGATAGATGAGCAGGTTCAGATGATAGCCCCATCAAACTTCAAGAACATTACAATCCACACTATCAAAACAAATTCCTCTTGAAATTAAGAATGTTGCAGCCATATTCCTGCCAACCACGAGCTGTGAGCGAGAGCAAGAGAGAGAGAGCAAGAGATGGCATGCTCATTTACAATAAGAACTATAGCATTGTTTTTAAGAGTCATCACTAACAAAATGAAGACTGGTGACAAAAACAAGGCGCCAACCTTTACATGTACCCAAGACGTGCAAAGGAAAAAGAAACACTAATAATAATTATAATTTACTTACTGAGAAAAAGAACAAAGCCAATCCATAATCGCATATTACCATTAGGAGAATAGATACTAAGGTGAATCGGTACAGTTGACACTTGTTTAGTACGACCTGTCACCCGATCAGTCTCATCTGAAATCTCCTTTCTCACAAGGGCTGCAAAAATGGAGCCAACATTTTCTTTATGCATTAGAAAAGAAAAAAGTTATTCAAATAGAATAGAGGATGCAGAAACTTAACTGTCCCCACTATAACTAGAAAAAACAAAAAACATATGTTGAAGGGGCAAGCATTACTAGGAAGATACTCAAATGGAGCATAAACAAAGAAGAGCAAACAAAGAAGAGCATAAATGTCATTTACAGGGTTGTAATGAGGAAAGAATAAACCAATAACTTGAAAAGTAAAGAATCCAATTCCAAAATGTTTGTAGCCAAAGATTGGCTAATATAATGAAAGTTCCTCCAAAATCCTCAAGCAGCCCTATCTATAGCAGTCATTAACTATAGAATGATCCTTACTCCAAAACAACAACTATGATGACGATATCTTAAAAGTTTAAACATGTTTAATACAGCTAAACATTAACTGCCATTAGTTATGGCTAAATATATAGACATCATACCAATTAGACTTTGGATAAATAATTGCAATGTCAAGAAAACTACTCCTTAACTTGGACCCCCCAAAGACCTTACAATCCTTTGGTGGCAAAAGGAATCCCAATATGATACATCCTATGTCTAAGGATTTTCAGAGGACTAAATGCCCTCAAAATTATAACAAGGCAGTGAACAATGAATATCGGGTAGAAGTAATTTGACTCTCAATAAAGTGATTGATAGAGGAGAGGGTATTAGACAAAATAATAAAGAAGAGGATAATTATTTGCAACCATGAATTTGCCAACTGCACCCACTTAGATGTGTGGGGATGCTAGCCAGCATGTGCTTTGCTTATTCCTACAAAAACATTGGTGGGAACAGTGAAAACATGAGTACAAATAGTAAGATAGGGATATCTTTCCAAGTATATTATAAAGCCAAATGATTTACATCAGTAACATTCAACACTAAAAAACCTATAAATATCATCTATAATACTTACTCAGCTACAAATCCATACAGGATAAAACTTAGACATGAAAAGCCATTAAAATTGATGCATATCATCTACCCATTTATCATGCACATATTAATAGGACAAAGCAACTCAAAGCTCAAGAAGAATATTTAAAAGAATTGTGGACATTAGAAGAATAATGCAGTTGTCTCGACAAGTTTGGAACTAGGTACTAAATGAATTATGCACAAAATTAAGTACCAAAATAATAAAGGCATCCATATAGCTCTAAACTCCTTCATACAGGGATTTTGACCCAAAACTGTACCCTCGCATCTGAATGAGAGGCCCCTAACCCTAAAAGCCAAAGAACAGCTGCCATAAGCTTGTCATCTAGCCATTATCTAACTATTTTATATTTTGCTAACATAAATAAATTTCCAAAACAATGTGATCTACAAAAGAGTTAAGAGGCATGAGGCTTTCAAGGGTAATAATTGGCACTTAACTTACGTAACTAGTTTCTAAGAAGAATTTTACCCAACAAGAAGTTAAAAAAAAAACCTCCATAAAAGCCATTTTCCTTTCCTTTTTCTCTTAAGCTAGAGGCACAAGCCTTATGTTGCACACCATGGTTTTAAAATGAGGCCACATCGCCGCATATGTTGCCGCAAAATGCGTTATGCGCTGGCAACTGCATCGTATTGGGCCGCATACGCGCTTTGATGGGATGCGCCGCATCCCACATAGCTCACATAGGGTGCATATGCGGCCAGCGAGTGATGTGAAAAAAAAATAAATAAAAGGCTCTCGAGAAGGGGTATTTTTTACTTTTTAAGCCACGAAAAAGGAGGGAAAGGGTTTGGGGGGGGGGCGCTACTAAACCCTCGAAATTACCAAAAACAGCCACATCTGTGGCCTTTACTTCATCAAATCGATCAAAAAACAAAAGTGGCAGAAATTTATTTTTTTGAAGTTCTTAGATTTTCATCTTGGTTGATCTTTGGTTGTTGATTTGTTTCTTTTGGGTGCTGATTTGAAAAAGTTTTAGCGAAATTTTGACAACAAATCGAGGGTTTCAAGGGCCGATAAGAAAATCGATATTTGCTTCAAGTAATCGCCTTAAATATTGTAGAAAGAGTTTTAATTATAAGTTAGTTCCCGAAAATAAAAAAGTAAAAGTTATAACCATAAAATTAAAGCGGGGTACTCGGCATATGGTAGGAACAACTAGGGTTAGAAAGGACAGAAAGGGAAAGCTCAAAATTAATACGTGGGAGATGTTGTACCCATTTCCTTATGGTTGTTGAATGTTTTATGAAACTAGCTTCAAGTTTCTAGTTTCTACTTTGTAATATATTATATGATCTATCAGGGGATAGTGGATATAGAATCTCCAAAAGCTGATACTTTTGGAGGCAATGAAGAAGCTCTATGTTCAAAAGGCACCCGTATCTGAACCTCAACACCGCATTGCCCCCCCAACAACGCATCGGGCCACATCCCACATATTAAAAACACTTTAATGCACCATAATATTCAGGCCGAAATTGGCACCATACACATCAATGATGCATTTTGAGATGCTCAAGATACACCTCAACTGTAGCAAAACACGAGAAGTGACTCAAGTTGCCTTTGATTACTATGGCAAGTGCATACATAGAAATGTCAAAAATATTGACCTAAACTTGAGATCGCGTGTCACTTACAACGATAAAATATGATATTTTATAGATGAAAAATCAATAAGATATCTTTAATCACATTACATAAACCCTAGTGCACCAACCGCAATATCTATCCTTACATCAACCAAAATGCAGCTCACTTCTCTGTACTTATTAATATAAGGTCATCGACTATTTCAATGTTAGTCCATCAATTGCACATGTATACACTTGTTTCAAAAAGAAACACTCACCAAAATCTGTGAATCTCTTTCTAGGAAGGTGAAGAAATTCTGCATATTCCCTACCCTCATCAATCTTATGAAGTTGCAATACAAGAGGTCGTCTAGTAACGATACCTGCAATAATGTTTCAATAATATTTAACAAAATCCAAATATATAATGAATAAACCCCAAATATTTCATTTTTTTTAAAAAAAAGAAACTTTTGATCAAGTACTTTAAACAAGACCCCCACATGCAGCAAAAAAATGGATGTCTATGTATGTACAAAATGTAAACACAGATATAGATATTTGAAGAGAGAAATGCACATGTATGTGTTTACATGTATTTTTATGTATGTATGTGCATGTGTGTGCATATAAGGGTGGAAAAGTTGAGATGGCATTACCAGATCCACGAGGTAAAAAGTCTTTTCCAACAATACTCTCCAAAACTGAGGACTTTCCAGAGCTCTGTAAATCATTATCGACAAATGTATGTAATGCTTATCAAACAAAACCATTTTTTTCTTCATATTATCAAAGCAAAACTAAAATAGTATATTTTTTTCAAATCTTAAAACACAAATGAAAATGCACATAAATTTCATATATTGTTCGCAAGGAATAAGAACTGGACCTTTTGACCAGAATATAGTATAAATTCAATAACAAAGATACTGTCACTTGAGCTCACTATATTTTAAGGAATATCACACGTCCCAAGATCATTAACCTCCATGCTTCTCATTGTCTCAGCAAGAATGTTGTTCAGAAATATTATTTATGTCATTCGGTAAACCAAACAAATAATCATTTATCGAAGAATTGAGTATCAAAGAACACATCCTTAGGAGAAACAGAGCCAACAGCACCAACATACCATAAGTTCAATATATTCATACGCAATTTTAGAACTAGAATAAGCATTTACTCAATCAAATTACAATAATGAGTTTCTATGAAATAGTTTTCAATTGGAACACAAAACTGAATTGCTATATCTTTTGATTCAATATAGAAATGCTCACTCGGAAAATAAAAACACGAGTTGAATTAAAGGTTGCCAGTAATTCAAGCAAATAAATTGTATCATATTGTCAATGCCGAAAAGAAGAGGAATAAAGAAAGGGTAAGAACTGCAAGGAAACTCCAAAGTTTTACAGAAAACAAGGACAACTCAGGGCCGGGTCGATGATCAACTGAATAAGGTACTATCATAGCGATTTGACCTATAATAGGTATCAAACGCACTTATGACTGAACTAAGTTACAAACATCTCGCATCTGAGCAAGATCTGTGGATATGATGAACAGAGATTAAATCCACTAGACAGCAATTAAATCCACCAGAATTTACAGACAATTAATCAAGAAAACATGAGTACATTCCAAAGGCATTGAAGATCAAACACAAGATAGAATATCCTTATTTCATGACAGATCAAACTTCATGCGAATTGAAAAGGTGAAATCAGATTATCATGCACAAAATAAAACGAAAAAGGGATAGATCTGATTGAAAGAGGGAACAACAGATCATAAACTACAACAATTAAATGAAAAATAAAAAAGGAAACAACAGTAGAAGGAAAAGCCTAAGACACTTCCATGCTATATTATATATATACACAGAGAGAGAAAGAGAGAAGCTAACCTGACCACCAACAACAGCAATGGCGGGCAAAGAGTCCCAAAGAGTAGGCAGTGCACTCTCTTCTCCATGGTCACCCAGAGCAGTGCACGCCCTCTGCAACTTATTAACCAGGGATATCAAATTCTCCATTGCTCCTCCCTGTCCAACTTCAATTTCACAGCCAAATGCGTCAGATCTCGTACTAAAGCTTCCAAATTTTCGTCCAAGAGACCAGATTTCGGTTAAATGGAGGTGAGATCACCCCGGAGGCCAAGAATTGGGAGCTGTAGAAGAAGAGCAGAGCTCAGAGGACATTTGGGTGCCGTCCTGTGGAGAAAACCTGCATGTTTAAATACAGAGGGCAATTACAAAATTAGAGTCAAATGTAGATTGTAATTACAAAATCTCCGGATTTGTCGTCTTCTTTTTTTTTTTTCAGGATCCCTAATCCAGATCAGATTGGATCATCAATTCGAGAAAATACCAACAAATAAAAATAAAATAAAATGAAAAAAAGTTATTGGGGTTTTTAAACATTTGGACTACACCCAAAAAAGTTTGAAAAAAAAGAAGAAGTTGTTGGGGGATCCAACATGTTCCCAAGCTGACCTCCCCGATTCCTGGTCTGGATAACAATTTAAAATCCAAAAACAAGAATGGGCATGCGCCCAAAAATGTCGAAAGTATCCTTAGTGATTTTGGTATTGGTAAGATGAAGATCCGATCATAAATACTCTTCTTCTTTTTTGACATGCGCACGTAACTTTATTAATCAAAGAACTACACGATTATAAAATGAAAGGAGAAATGAATCACAAAGTATTAAAAGAGAGTGTCATGCTCCTTTTATAGAGTTTTTGGGTAGAATTATTTGATTGACGGAGAGAATATGTTTAATCTAGTTTTTATGTGAAGGCTTCATACACATTGACATGCAAATGTTGATATTTAAGGCTGATCAATCATGATTAAAGCACAGCCAAGTTGGACGCATCCCTTGCTATTGCTTTAACTTCAAAAAAAAATTAAAAATTAAAAAAATAAGAAATCTTTTTATAATAAGTTTTTAGTGTTTTCTATTGTTTCAAAAAAAAAGATTAGAGAAGTATTTTGATCATAAATACTTATTTTTACTATTTTTCATCTTTTTGTATTATTTTTAAAATACCCGTAAGTACAACTTGATTTTTTTAAAAATTCATTTTTCCAGTACTTTTTTAATCTCGGAGGTATTTTGTTTAATTATACTTTCTCATATTTTTAAAATCTTTTGAGATTTTTTTTATAGTTTATTTGACCTTTTCAACATGTTTTGGACCGGCCCGATTAGAGCGGGTTACCTAGACTGATTCTAGGCTACTCAGACCCTGCCCATGGCCCGGTTATGAGGCCAGTTCGTGCAATCGACTGGTTACTACAACAGATATACATTGGAGATAAACCAAGTTATGGCTAAACCGAGGGTTACGAAGGTTGATGCATGGCGGACGTATCTCTAGTGGGAGTTTACATGAGGTATTTTATTTTGTTTACCTTTGGCATGCATTTCGCATACTAAACATTTTGTTGTGCTCATATGGGCGCATTTATTTGAACGGAATGTAGTCTCCCTCCAAAATTAATACACATGCATTTAGGATATGAAACACATTTTGAGAATGTATATATGTTTTAGAATTTAGGAAAATTTATTAAAGGAATACTATACCGTAAGACTATTTATATTCGGTAGATGGAGGTAACAATTAATCTTGAACATTCCAAGTGAAATTCGGTAGATATTTTTATTATGTTGACCATGTTCAAAGTGGAAAATAAGTTTTTTAAACTTTGTGACATACCCAAGCTATCATATTTCACATTTAATGGCTATAGGTAATTGAAACTTGCTTGCACCGAAAGTAATTAGTCTCGTAATATACAACCCCTTTATCTAAAGGGTGAGGTTTGTGTAAGGTGTCAACCTTGTACTATTGAAGCAAGGTACACCTCAAAACCAGTGATCAAAAGATCGGGATTGGTCACCGGCTGATCCCGAGTTGACCCTATTCCAAAGGTTATGTACTTGAAATTTTCATATAGTGCATTAATCGATCGATTTACTATACTAAGGGGAATGGTTTGTATAAGGCTGGGACCCTAAACAATCAAAGTAAGGTGCACCTTCAAATAGTGTCTAAAGACATTGTCTCAATACTATAAATATTTTGTGATGGCCTGAAAATTTATTTTTATAACTAATTATAAAATTTAAAACTTGAAACATAGTGTAGATCGAGCAGATCTTTGAACACTTGAAACTTAACGGGCCAAAAAATGCATTACATGGTGCACTATAGCTGATACAAGAAATCCAGTTTTTCTCATGTTTATATATATTGAGGTCAAGATGATTGATTTAGAGATTTTCGAGGTATGCCTTATTTGATTGTTTAGGGCGTTTCCCTTATATAAACTTTTTCCTTATTTAAGTGTACACTAAAAGTGTATACTTTTTACATAGTATGGTTACAATCACCCCTAGTCATTCGATACAAAATTGGGCCTCAAAGTCAAAGAAAAAGTTTATTTAACATTGTGGCATGCCCTTAGCCTACCGATTTCTCATCTTATGACTATGGATGATGATAATTTTCTTACATCAAAGTCAGATGGTCTTACATACAAATAGCTTGTGTCAATCATTTTATTAGATTTATTTTATCAATTCAATTGTTGGTATCTTCATTCGGGATTCAATTTCTACTAGTATGCGACTAAAGTGCGACCATTACTTTGAAGTTGTCCTGCCTTTTCTTTGGATAAATAAGTAGGTCAATCTATTTTATTTTCTCTTGGGTAGTTCAACGGTAGGTATCAAACTTGAGATGTAGCACTGCTAAATAGAAATTGCTAACTAATCAAGCACAATCCTGATTTCTACATTAATATGGCTTAGTAACTATCATTAGGCACGTAGTAGGCAGTGGTCACAAAATCGAACTGGAACGATCAACCGGGCATGGGAATAGAAGCAGTTTAACTGGCCTAATCAGTAAACCGACCGATTCAACCGCTCTAACCGGGCTACTCCCAGGCGGTAAAAAAAGTATTGAAAAAAAAAAAAAAACTGCTAAAATATGAAAAGCATATAAAGAATGATTAAAACAAAACACGTTCAAATGAAGTTGAAAAACCCATTTTATATTTTCCAATGGCTATTTTTAAAATTTTATAAAAAATATGAGAAATTATAAAAGTGAGTATTAATGACCAAAACAATTTTTAATCATTACCATAATGTAAAGAATATTTAAAAATGCATTACAAATCAAATTCTTTATTTTTGAGAATTTATATACATTATTTTATTTTATTTTTTTAAATACAGGTTGATCACCCTAACCGCCCAAAACCGATCTAACCAGGTGGTTGATGGTTAGATCGGATGATTTTATGAACAATGGTAGTAGGTATCAAGTGCACTATCATGAAAAAATATATTAGACCTTCATATGGGTTTTTTACATTTTGCCTAGTTGTCCCAGACCGTTAGATGCCAACAAATGATGGTTGGTTGGTGCTCTTTCTTTGCTCAAATTTGATTTCAATGAGGGCATCGATGAGGACAACGACAGTGATGATGGAGAAATGCGAGATGATTGGCGTGAGCCAACAATAGTAGAGTGTGAGGTGTCGCAAGGTACTAGAACCTACACTGCGGAAGAAGAGGGACTTAGGTAAGTTTGGAATGGAGTTGAGAGAGCCAGGCATAGCAGCTGCACCCCTGAATAGAGTCGCGGGTGACATAATTTAGAATGATGACAATGACGATGAGGGGTAAAACATAGGCCAAAGAGGCAAGGAGTATGAACAATTTCAAAGTCTAGGTGACCGTGGCTTAGGAACTTTATAAGGTAGTATTCCTACTTGACAAGGAGGTATTGTTGCCCTACATATTCAACCAGACTTCACGACGATTTTTCCCCATGTCAACCCTGATAGCGAAACTCAAAAAAATCCTGAACCCTATTGTCGATTTTACTAAGTTTGAGCAGTGTATTTTTCTAATGTGTAATATTATGTAATCGTTCACGATGTAGATCAGAACAATCTCGAAATGAAGGTGGACTAGATCCAAACCACAAACTTATTTTTAAAAAGTGATAAAGAGTGGGGGTCAATCAAATTCTAATCTAAGTTCAAATTTGTTCAAAATGAGCAGATCTGTTATCATGTCAGTGGCAGAGTCAGCTTTGATCCAGAGAGCATGAAAAGAATACCTGTCCAGGCCAGTTGGCCCCGCAAACCCGAGGCTTTGAGCCCTCGTCCGTATCAGGACGCGGCCGTAATTTCGACCGTGGATCCCCCATGTCTCTCTTCAACACTGACCAAGCCTTGACTTGGTTGAATGGACTTTTTAATCTAATGGTTGCAGGCTTATTGACCTAAAGCTTACTAAGGTTTGTCTAGATCTAGGGTTTGGTTACAAGGTCTCCTCTCAGGTCTCAGAGTCTCTCAGATTTCTTGGCATACAAGCTAACAAGGTCTAACCCTAAAAATTGGTCACGAAATGTGCTTATATGGGTTGAAAATCAGCTGAAATAGATAATACCCCATAACAAGAAGATTTTATAGCCTAGACTACCATTTTGGTGGTCAAAGGCTTGGGAGACACTACCAATGTCGCCCAGACCAAAATGGTCAAGGTTCAATGAACCTAGCCAAAAAATGATCTGGGAGATGAGCTGGGTCAAAATACACAATTTTGGGCAGTAGTGTTGCTCACACCAAATATGCCCAGAATCGGTAGATTCCAATTCTGAGGTGATCTATGGGCTTGTATGATACTGCATACTAAAAATTAGGCAATTTTGCTATTTTTATTTGATTTATTAAAAAAACAGTGAGTCTACGGGATTCTGACAGGTAGTATGGACTATAGTAGTCTATGGTCCGGGGGTTTACTAGGATAATGTAGTCCTAAGGCAGTCTAGGGTTTAGAAAACCATTGAATTTATTAGTTTTCAAAGTTGGGTGTCTATAGTTGCCCCTCTTTGGTGCTCCCTGTCCTTCGAGAGATAGGTGAGTGTCATAGAAATAGACACTGTTGATATTTTAATTTATCTGAAGTCGTGGTCAGAGGGCACACCAATTTTCCCTCCAAGATATTGTATTTCTCGCTCACCCACCTAAGACATTTTCATCCTAGGGTTTTCGATGTGAGATGTTCCAGTGAGTTACACAAGCTTGAAACTCGAGTTGGATTTTTTGGCCATGCTACTTAACTTCAGAGGTATTCACAATTTCAAATTTTTGAACCTGTCATTTTCTTTGATCTCCCTTAAGGTTTCCGAAGGTCTTACCTGTTTAGGAAAATGTTTACCCAGCCCATTTTGAAGAGAGAGATGAGGCAGCAATGTGGTAGCATCCATGTATGGGTGTCCAAACTTTTTCGGTTTTTACAAGTCCACTTATAAATTTTGAAAACAATGGGAGATTTGAAATAGAACCTGAAGCTTGGAAAAGTCATGATTTTAATAAAGAAATTACAGCTTTTGAAAACACAAGACATTCAGTGAAAAGTTTTGAAATGAGAAAGATATTTTGAAAAACAAATTTTTGGTTAGCAGTTTTAACTACTGCAGCCATAGAGCCTTTTGAGCAATTTAACGTCATGCAGCAATTGATGATTTGGTACCCGTCTCGACTCTTTTGCGTTGCATGGATTTGACGTTGAATTGATATTAAGTACCCGATCTTTTTGTCGTTACACGGGTTAAACATTTTTCTGTCTCGACTCTTTAACATCACACGAGTTTGACGTTTTTCTGAATTACAACTTTGGTTGGTAGTTTAAACTCGGGGCACCAGAGAGTGTTTGAAACTTTTGAAAATCAATTAAATATTTGAAAAACAATATTTGTTTGAAAGAAAATGCATAACAAGACCCAATTCAGCCCCCTCTAGAATAAGAGTAGGGGCATTTTTATCTAAAAAAAATGGGCAACATGCCCAGTGCACAGACCTGGGCGACAGACCTTGTGTTGCCTAGGCCACCGACCTCCAAAACCAGTTTTTTGCGACTTTGGCAACTTTGGGTTGCCTTATCATCTTGTATTTCGATTTTGAAGCCTATATAATGGGTTTTGGACGGGAATATTCATATCCTCATTCCATTTCAGGAAATCTTTGAGCTTTCCAAATCTTTTTCTTCTTCTTCACTCTTCTTCTCATCTTCTTCCTTCTCCTTAGTTTTCATGGCTCCCAAGAAAGATGTTGGTCTCTCCAAGGGCAAGGGCTAAGTCACAGGTCATGGTGAAACTAGGAGAGAGGAAGAGGCTTTTCCCCCCTCTGCCCGAGTTAAACACTTTCCAAAGAGTCTTCCCTCTCATATCTCGCAGGGTTTGAGGACTACTATTTTCTTAGTGACCATTGTTTTCGATAATTGCAAATCTAAAAAACAAGGTTTTGGGTGTTTTTCAATCTGGGTTGGCATATTAATATTTTTGTTCATAGCAGAGTATGTTTATTATACAGATTGTGAACAACTCATGGTATTCATGATGATGGCAAGTGATACACTCTCATTGTTATGCTCAGCAACTAGGCTTATGTGTAAATGGTGGACCTCACATCAAACAAATAAAGTGATATATTATTAATGAATTGGCTATACTTCATTAATAAAGACCGCATTACTTACAAGAAAGACTCATGCATGCTAAATATTATCAAGCAATTGATGAAGGCATTTTATTCTATCATTTTCCTCCCCATCTTCATCCATCCACATATTTGCTCTCTCCATATATCGCCAGCTTTAATCGCACTATATTTTTTAATAGAATTACTATTTTTAAATTTTTAAATTTATTTATTTTTTTATATTCATGATTTCTATGTTAGAGATTATATGTTCTTAAAAATTGAGTCAAAAAATCCATCTTAAATATAAACTTTTAAGAGGCTGCATTTCTAAGCCCGCGTGCTAACCGCGTCCATGGATAAAAAGTGGCATTTTTCATTACAAGTCAACGTCAGCCATGGCTTGCAAAAATGCATGTAAATGGTGCGAATAACTACATGCAAACATTGATTTTCTTAAACCAAATAATAGAGAACATTGGAAAGAGTAATGATTTCATGCAACGGTTGCATCACACTTTAATGCAAAGACACTTCTAGAAAATCATGTTTGTGTTATTTGTATGACCCAAAATTTAGAATACACTATCTTCATTTCAATTCTCAAACTAAAAAAAAAGCAAAAAAAATTTCAATTTGAACCTTAGATATGGTCAAAATGAGTCCCTTCAAAACACGAATCTAGACCATTCTTTTGGTGAATTTCAAGATCTTAGCTTTTATAAACTCAAAATCATTTTTTTCTTTTTTAACATTGTTCATCTAATGATAATAAAGTCATCCAAAAAGATTGGAAATGAAAAAATCCTTTTAAGGCCTAGATATAAGCATATCACCAAAATGAACGATCTATGTTAATTGGGCTAAAAAATGTTTTCTAAATTGGGTTTTCAATTTATTTTTATTTTTTATGATTGTTCATTAGAATGAAAAGAGTGTATATTTCAAAATTTAGACCAAACAAATAGCCATAACATGGTTTTTGAAAGTTGTTACATTATATTATGATAAAACCATTGCATAAAATCATTGCTCCATAGGAAGGAAAGAGCAAGTTTATCCCTAGTTTTGGATACAGGCTTCTATTTGGATCCACGGGTAAGGAGGACCGGTCCATGTAAAAGCAGAAGAACGCGAAAAAAAATAAAAAAAAATAATAATAATAATAAAAATAAAAGAATAATGAGAAAGGCTAAAAAATAAAAATCTAAACGTTACGTAGCAAAAAACGTGCAATAACAACAAAATTTGAACCTTAGCTAATGAAAAAAAATTAACATATCATTTATAAATTTTTTTTTGGGATTTTCTCAAATTACTCAAGAAAACCCCAAACAAAGACAAAAAATTAAAACAAGCATATTATTAAAAAATTAGCTACATTCCCCCCAAGAATGATCATAATATTAATTACAAATTCAAATTTTCTCAAATACTTTCAGGGAGGCCCAAGTTGAGAAAAAAAATAAAAATAAAAACAATATTATTTAAAAACTATCTAAAACCCCATCTTGCACAACCTAGAACACTAAAAAATTACTTACCCACACTAAAAATTTGACTTTCTAATTTACAAAATTTGCCTTTTTTTAGAAAATAAATGAACGCATATATTATTTAAATTTATTTAAACCCTACTTAAGATAACGTAGAACCAAAGACAATAAGCAATAATAATATTTCTGAAAATTTTGGTTTCCTTGAAATTTTTGATGTATATCCTAAATCAAAACAAAAATTAAATAAAATATAAATATTAAAAAATATCTAAACCCTACCTAAGAGAACCAAAAAAAAAAAAATCTTCAAAAAAATAATTTTTAAATTAACAAAAAAGGAAAAATATAGAAAAATACATAAGATCAAGTATTCAAAATGGAAAAAATGATTTTTCACATTATAGGATGTAAGAATCAATATTAATATAAAAAAAATTAAATCAATATAAAATTGCAAAACGAAAAAATTAAAAAATAACAAAAATTGATTTCAAATATTTGCATTATGATTAAAAAAGCTTTGTTAGGGATTTCCTAGATCGTTGCATTAAAAACATTTTGAGACACATTGAAAAAATAATATTTTCTTTTTTCTCATTTCATTTCTTTTTCTTTTCCTTGCTTGGTTTTCAAGGCCAAGTGCTTGTACATGTTTTAAAGCCAAGTTCTTGTACTTCTTTCATTTCCCCAATGAAATCTTGTTAAAAGTTTTTTTTTTTTTTTAAAAAAAAAAAGAAAAAAGAAAAAAAGAGAATCATGTAACGTTTTTGGACGATTCTTGCTTCCAATGGCATCAGCAATGGTGGGCCATATTCATAATACACGTCGTCTTTCCTCCGTTATTCTTACGTCACTCCCCTCACATCACATGCCTTTTCCAAAGCCCCTTGTTAAAAGCTTAGGATTCATCACTCTCACCTTCGCATTTCCTCTGCAACTTAGGATTCATCACTCTCACCACTTCGCAGAGCACCTGAGAATTTGGGTTGTCCCCCCCTCAATGTTCTGGGCTTTGAAATCAGTTTTCTTAATACAAAATTTCACCATTTCTTTTTGTTCTTTTTTGATCCATAAGAATTTCACCATTTCTTTACCACATCATGGTGATGATTTTGTTCCATTGAATTTTCAGATCACGAGCAGTTCTTACTCTGATTCTGGAATAACAAATATCAGAAATTTCACAGGTACTTCTCATTCTTCTTCTACGTTCCCAAATCTAAGAACACAAATGGAGAAATATCTGGAGAAAAACTCCTTTTATGGAGGATTTACGCGCTTGTATTACTGCAACGAACAATAGATTTGAAAATTTGGTAGTGGATGGTTCCGATTTTTTTATGGATCCTGTATTCCTGTTGCATCCTGTGAACCGTCCACTAATTCGTTAAGCGGCTGGATATTCATTTGATTTCTAATGATTCGAAGGTAAAATGTCTATTTACATCGTTTCCTACACCTGGATTTTCTGGACGCTCATGATTGACTTCTCCACGTGTGAGGAATATTTTTCCCTTTTTTATTTACTTACTTTTTTGGGTTTTTTTGGACTTGTAGGTTGGTGGTAGATTCCGTTTTAAATTAATCTCTAAGCAAACTTTATTTGGGGATATTCCGGTAAGGGTGCAGTTTGCTTACAGACGCATTCAAATTTTATGGTGATATATAATTTTGATGTAAAATGTTCTTAGGATTATCTCAAAATCTATTTTTATATCTAATTATAAAATTTAAAAATGGTTAAAAATCAAATAGATCTATAAACATATGAAATTCTTGAAAATGGATGGTGTAGATAATATGTTATAAAATGTACTATTTCTGATATTTAAAATCTTTTTATTTTTCATAGTCATACATCTCGATGTCGAGATGATCAATCAAAAGGTTTTTCAACATTAAAACTTCCTTTTCTGATAAATTTTTTAGGGGGTAGTTCTACATTATAAGGTAGCATCCTTATACAAACTTTTTCCAAGGGGGAGAATGAAATGATGTATAAAAGCACCTACTTTCGTTCATATTTGTCTCTCTATGAATATGCTTGAATCTTCTGCAACGGCTGTTCTGGATGTCTAGTGTGGAAATGTTGTCTATTTTCTTCACTTTTTAGTGTGTGAAGAAATAAAATTATTAGTATTTATTGTATGTTTTTAGTTGGTTTTCTATTTGCACGTACTTCATGGTCATGTATTGCTTTTTAATGTGAATCTGTGAGTTCCAAAATTTCAAAGAGATGTATTTCACTTGATTTAAGATTTCGCAATGGTTGATCCTTTAATATTATCAGTGGAGATTCCGATTTATGAAAGTTTTTATAGCTATACGGAGTGGAGATTCCTAATAAATCGATTTTGGTGTATTTTGTGTGGAGATTCTTTAATATGCACACGCACATCGATTATAGTGTATTTTGTGTCTTATAAATCTAGGTTCCACTGGACGCGTCCACATTTGTGTAAAAAGGCTTTAACGGGTGAGCCCAACAGTGAAATGACTAAAGTAAGATGCTCTTTAGTTTTGGTTTTAGTTTAGGGTTGGAACTTCTTGAAATCTATCTTCATAGAAGTAACTGATTTTATATAAATCATGTATCAACATCTTGAATGGAAGATGCATAATACTCCAGTGGCATTGATCCTCTCTTTTAAAACTTTGTCTAAAAAAAAAACAAAAAAAGCCAAAAAAGATACTTAGGGGCTGTTTGGATCCTTGGAAAAACATTACCAGGATATAGTTTTTCAGGAAAATTGTTCATTTCTACTATTGGATCCAAAATCTGAGATAGTCTTTTTCTGACAAAAATCGCTTTCTCTATTTTGACCAAAAATAGAGAAATATTTTTCCATGTATTTACCATAAAAGAATCTTTTTCTCTGCCAGTTTCTATCATGGAGTTGAAACCCTACTCATCAAAAACACACACACACACACACACACTCTCTCTCTCTCTCTC